AGTTAGAAACTATTGATAAGTGACTTTCCAGTATCAAGTTAAATTAAAAGTTTTTTTTTTTGATTCCGAGGGAAGAGGAAACGTGGAGGCAGAATGTAATTTGTTACGATATGCGTACAAAAGAATGAATATCTCATCCAGGCAATGGCGCTAAATCAACATTTATTCAACGTCAGATGTCCGGTGGGACCTCTATGAAATTATCGTAAATAACAGTACTCCATTAGGATTTCATTCATTTATTTTTATTTAAACCATTTTGAAGATTTTAATGGGAGAATAATTTAACAAATTGTTCTTTTGATGAAACAGCCTTGCTCAAAATTCATGACGAATCCATGTTACAAATCACTGAATGACAAACTAATATCACTTTCATAACCGGAAGCTCTCTTTTGACGCTTGAGAGTAAAAATTAATAGAATTTTCAGAAAATTAGCAATCGTATGATCAGTATCAAACGATAGGCAACGGGAAAAAGGTTGTGGATGAAGATGGAAAAACGACGGAGTTGATGGAGGTTATACATTTATCACAGGAAATTCATGGCCAACGCAACATCTCCTGACACACATCAACGATAACGTCTTTGGTCTTTGAAGTAATGAGCTCATTAATCTTTATGCCGTTGACTTGGATGGGATTAGAAAAAATATAGTGTGCCAAGTAGAGCTGGCGGGCATATACTGAAGTGTAGCATTTTTGCAACTAAATTTAAACTGAAAATTAAACTTGAATTTAAAAAAAAAATATGGTGAGACTTCGAGTATTTATTACTTGAATTAATCATATCTTCGTATACGTATTGGAGCTTTTGTTATATAATACCACTATGATCGAGAGACTAGCGGGACGGTCTGAGAATAAAGGTAAATTCGGATCTATGGCCACAAATTATAAAGATTTGCTGGCATATTAGGCCAATGTATAATTATGAACTGATTTTCACTGAGTATGAGTTCACACCCTGACGCTGAAAGAGAATTTTATTCATTGCATAAAAATTGTCTGCACTTTTTATTCAGATAAATTGTTTTCTGTGGTTTGTTCAATTGTGAAAATTATTGTTTTATGTGTTTAAATATATCGTGATATGCGAGCATGGGAAATGCATTCAGCGAGAGTTGTCTCAAATATAATAGTTGGTCCTCGAACATTTTCTACTTTCGACCTAGAGGTTTTCAAGGACCAACTGACGTATTTGGAAATACTGGGGAAATCGCTATGCAAATGTTCCTTGCGTGTAAAAGTTTCATATAACACTCCTAGATAATGTACTCAAAGTTATTCATAATATCAATCGTTGCACAGTAACGCTCGTTAACAAACTTTTTCAAAATAATCTTCATGATAGCTGAAATCCATCTCGAAAAAATTCGATTATATGCTGAGAAACAATAAAAATTATTTTAATGTAAATCTAACAGGTTTTCATCCAAATCGACAAATTTGCTCATGTTCTTCTACGTAATTGCTCAGTATAAACTCCTAAGAACTTTTTAGAAGCGGTCTTTACTTACAGAGGGTGAGAAGACCGACCATCTTAATTACTCGCCCACTTCAACAATGATATTCTTTGTGCTGGTTGGCATTAAACTCACTTGATCGCACAATACAGAGATAATTTAGTGATAGCATTTTTCTATAACAATAAATTGAGAATTAACTAAACAGCAACTATGATCGAAAAATTGCAGAACGCTGTTAAAATTCAACAATTTTCTCCATATTTTTTATTGCAAATTTTGATATATTAGGCACCTTAAACCTAATTAAGTGTCAAGATCAGAAACTCAATATGCGTAATTCAATTTTGCAGACAGCGCTTCTCATTTACAGCGCTAAAACTTTCGAATTACCATGAAAAATACGAGGCACGAGAACATATGAAGTCAACAAGCCATCTTATCTGTTTATGCTAATAAGATCGCTCAAGTTTCCACTGTTTGACCTCATTAATTTCAACGAAAAATGTAGTAACTATCAACCGAAGTCTTTGAAGTTATCCGACTCGATAAAAATTTTGTAATTAATTTTGTCGGCTGTCTGGGGAATATCATTAGCGAGCTGCTCACGATCGCCAGCCCTTGTGATCCTACTAACTTCCACGACATCATTCGATCAAGGAGGAAACTTTTGAAATCTTCGAGACGGGACTCAGGACGAGCTTTTCAGTTTGGATTAGAAGTGCCGCGGCTCGTCGGAGTACCGGAAGAGTTTGCTTACCCAGGCGTCGCAAAGTTCCGTTTACGAATACCATCATGTAAAGCAGGGAGGGAATTTTAGCATTCAGTCGAGATTGCCGTTGCTGATCATGCAAAATAGCTCGATTGCCTTCCATTTATTGGTAAAAGACTTAAAAAAATTATTTAGATTTTTTCATTAAAGCTGGGACATTTATGCAGTTTTCTTCGTTAAGGCCTGATAAAAACCGATTTCAAACGAAGTATGGAACATAAATTTCATTTGCGTTTGTTTTCGTGTCAAGTGTCAGTAATTTTTCGATTAGACTTTGTTTTATCATTATCACGCTTTGTTTGCATCGAGATCACAACTTAGCTCGACCTAAAACCTAATTCATTTTAATAATTTCTAATACACAAACATTGCACCTTGGAAATTACTGAATAGCTAACCACTGGAACAAGTGTTGTATTCCACACCCATTATGATTGCGGCGGTTTCTGCGGTGTTTTAGGCATTGCTTTGCCAATGAGACCGCCAATCTCACATCGAAGCTCAAACAAGAACTGTGAATGCAAGACACGCGTTAGAGAGCCCGTTTTACAGCGCAATACTGGAGTCGTTTTCGGGACTGGTGATGACATATTGCCATGTCTCTATTTATGGTGACTGACTCAGTAAGGTTGGCAACGCAGCTGACTCACTTTGAATGAGTCTTGCACCAATGCATTTTCAGCGACTTGTACGCTGTTGCTTGCAAGTGTAGACAGTTCCAAAATATTCAATCTATGTTTTTGTTAATTAAATGATAACTACAGCATTGGTTAAGTTATGTTCAATTTTGTTCAGTTATGTTCGACTCTCGCATGCGTTGATTGGTAATAAAGACTACTTGCTATCTACCTAACAGTTCTATTTTCTAAAATATTCATGAATTTGTGCAATTTGTTTTGAAGTTTAAGTCGCTACTGTCGAGTATTTTGCTTGAATACAACTGAATTCAATCAATTTGCTTGATTTTAATTGTTACGACCTTAACTCATTTCATTCAACTGGGTAGAAAATTCGATGGAATAGCTCTTCTAATCTGAATGTGATGTGAATTCAGGCGACAAATTGTTAAACAGACTCCGAGCCCATGAGCCGTGAAGCTATTTTTTTTAGGGACTTTAACCAATGTGGGGTGCGGTTAGTATTGTTAACTTATACATCTTTTAGAATTAACAAAAGTAGAGCAAATGGATAACAATTTAGTATCCCCGATAAATTCTTTATTGTCTTTATTATCAACGTATCATTAACCATAATCTGTTTTCCTCCTCTTGCTGAATGGCATTATAGGGTTGCTAAACATGATTCGTCGCTAGCGCTTATCTCATGGCACCGGACACACCCTGTTGTATGCTGCCTCTTTCGAGTGTGGTCTTTAAAAAGTAATTTTTTAAAGCATATTATTATGGATAGTTTGTTATTAGATGTTCATTATTATGTATGTGGAACAAGATGCAACTATGATTTACTTTGTTGAATAGTTTGTTTTAAAACAATTGTAAACTCCGGTAATGCCTGCTCATTAGTATCGGGTTTTCGGCCTCGACAGACAGGCGCTCGAGCGACGCTCTGTCAACCTCGGCATCGATCACTGCATGGACTCCGATAGCGGATTGTTTTTAATCGCTAATTGTGTTAACAAAAGATTAGACCTATATATCGATTTTTATGATGACCCATCCTAGGTGTACTGAAATTTTCATAAAATATAGATATGAGTGCAGATAAATGGACCAAACGACTGATGCTAAATGCCAATGTTTGAATTTCCGTCATAATAACTTATTATATACCATGGTTGAACTAGTAAAAGGTTGACCCATCAGAAGCGCAATTTTGCGGATGAAGCTCGTTGTTCGCCTGTGGCGTCACTGATCTCAGTGACGTCACGGGCATTATCCAATCACGAAATGCGATCAAACCGGTCAACCAATCCGTCATGGGAATGACGGGTTTGTTTACGTTTCTCGATCTACGTGACGTAACAAGAAAGCTGAACTGAAAAACGGAACTTCTCGTGGGTCAACCTTACATAGTTCAACCATGTTATATACTATCTGCAGCATGTGAATGTTGATTTGTAAAATTTTTCTGATTTGAATGATTATTTTCATGTAATGGTACTTATGGCTATAGTGACTGATTATTTTCATGCAATGGTACTCATGGTTATAGTGACTGATTATTTTCATGTAATGTCACTAATAGTCCCTTAAGGATCCGATTAGGATCCAAGCAGATCCTTTTAGCAGAATGAAGGATCAAATCAAAACAGCTTAGCAAAATGCGCAGGTCTTACTCCATCTTAAATTACAAACAACAAATTTGGTGAGCTTCGTGACGCTGAGGTGTTATTATTCCCGACCGTCGGTCTCCGCAAATGCAAGCTGATAATGTTTGTGAAATTAGCCTTAGCCATGAACATGGACGCTGCCTGCAGAGCTGGATGCAAATTTTGTTACGAAATAAGTTGTTTTTTTGGGGGGGGGGATTCATAATCCATACAATTAAATTTTAATTATTTTTATAGCTTTTTAGGCGCAAAATAAAATTATTTTCATATTCTAACTTCACTTTTCCACACAGGGTTGCGGCTGCAGGTCGTGATGTGCTGGAGGCCAAATTCTCCCTGATTTCGCGCAAAAATACCAAGACTGAGCAGCCCTGAGAAGCATCAAGTCCACTCAGCTGCAATCTGAAGATCGATGGCCAATCAGGGCAACATGACGAACGAAACGATATTCCCATCAGACCTGAACTGCTCAGACTTGAACACTTACATTGACCTGCTCAACGACACTTATAATAATTGTTCAACAGGGCCTTTCGAGGGCAACAGTATGTATGGAGCGACGGCCATGATATTTACTCAAGTGTTCTACGCTCTCACATTCCTTGTGGGGCTGTCGGGAAATACGCTAGTTATTTACGTTGTTGCGAGATTCTCAAAAATGCAAACCGTAACTAATTTCTATATCTTGAACCTGGCACTTGCAGACGAGCTGTTCTTACTAGGTATTCCATTTTTAATCACAACCCAGGCTTACAATGATTGGATTTTTGGAGACATCATGTGCAAGGTGTACATGAGCACTACTTCCCTCAACCAGGTCGCGAGCCCACTTTTCCTCACTGTAATGAGCGCCGACAGATACATTGCAGTGTGTCAGCCCATTAACTCAACACAGTTTAGAACTCCTCTCATTTCAAAAATCGTTTCCCTATCCGCCTGGTCATTATCTGCCCTTATGGTGACTCCCATGGTTATGTACGCTAATACATTGCAAATGGACGGCGAAGCCAACTGTAACATCTTCTTCCCTACAGTTAACAACGTGTCTGGGCACGTTATCTTCACTGTTTACTCATTCGTTTTATCGTTTGGTGTTCCTTTTGGTTTAATTTTCATATTTTACCTATTTGTAATTCACAAGTTACAGACTGTGGGTCCAAAATCGAAGTCAAAAGAGAAGAAGAAGTCGCATCGCAAAGTGACGAAGTTAGTCCTGACCGTGATACTAGTGTACGTAGTGTGCTGGTTGCCCTACTGGGTACTACAACTGACGCTCATCTCCCGCAAGGCGGGAGCAGGACACTCGGCCTATGAGATCTTCACGTTCGTCTTCTGCAACTGCCTACCTTACATCAACTCTGCTATTAACCCAATCTTGTACGCGTTCTTGAGTGAAAACTTCAAGAAGAGTTTTATCAAAGCATTTGCATGCATTAAGAATCCCGACGGCGCCATGGCTCTCAATGCTGAACATTCTGCGCAGCCGCGACGCCAGAGGGACGGATTGTCGTCTCGTTCTGCCCTGTGCCTGACAGACGCTGTCACGGGTGACAGAAGGAGCTCACATGTTCCAATGAGCAGGGACGCTTCCAGTGCCATGACCCTGTCTTCCAGGGCACCTCACAGCCACACCAGCGAGGATCAAAACAAGAACGGCCACCTCCTCGAGGTTCCCCACATTGTCCACGCCCCACCCCGTTCCCCTACCTGAGTAACCGAAAACGCAGCTACCGGTTAACCGAGGCCAATTTCAGGGTGTGGGGATCGATGGGCCTTTAAATTAAAGTGCTCAACATGTAGATCTTACGGAAATCTGATCTCCATTCATATGGTCTTTAAATTTTAAATTTATTTCCGGGTCGGCTGCAGTCCAACTACATTTTTCAAATTCCCAATGTCGTGTGCATTGAAGATATTAGATACATTAATTTAATGGCTAGCTCTGCACTGTGCAGCCTTCTGTTAGTTTTTGCAGACTTCTCGTCTCTATTTTAACTAGATCATTCATTGAGTCGAGACTCTTCCATAACTAACGCAGAAGTTGAGAGAATTCGTTTTGATGTGCAGCGGTTTGACTCGGTGTTGGGTCACCATAAGGCCGCTACCGGTGGTCGTGATACAGAGAGTACTTCTCTGCCAGCCTGAAAGTCATACACCGGATGCATGTTATTTTTCTTGAAGTTCCAACTTTGGAGCATTTCCAGGAATTTTTGGTAGTTTGTATCTCTTTATTGATGAGTGGTATGTGAGCTGTTAAGCTGTTTTTGACCTGTGTAAATATAAGGTTATTATGTAGGAAGATAAGATATTCAATGATCAGAGAACTCGACTTAGAATGCTACGAGGAGCAATAAAAAATGCATCCTTCAAAATTCGAAATCCGGCAGTACGTTTTTCACAGTTCCGCCTAATTCAATTAACGTTACTTTTAGGGGAGTATATTAAAAGCTGCGTCCAACTTGATACATGGCTATCAACTTATTAATACACAAAAATTGCTTGTATAGTAACGAATTAGACTGAAGGCCTGAGAATGAAATTTATTTATAATTTTCATGTTGGTTTTCTCATTAAGTCGAACCATAATTTTGGTAGGCGTTGGCAGATTGAAAATCAGGTTTCCAAATGTCATTATTACTATTTAATGACGCCTTAAATGTATCAACATTCATTAATATCAAATTAATGATGAAATTGTATTCCGAAATTTTGATCGACTTAAGTAAAATTGATTACTACTCAATAATTAGATTTTTATGGATTAAATTACGTATTAAATTACGTATAAAATTACGTAAATAATACAATAACCAAATCACGTACCAACAACTACGAAAATTTTTGTTCGACCTATTGAGAAAACCAATATGAAAATTATAAATAAAAATCACTCTCCCAAGTAAAAATTAAGGGTGGTGCATCGATGACTTTAAATGACGATTGTAGATATAGATGGCGTAACGATGGGTGGCCACATCTGCCAAAAATCGACAGTAAAACACCAATAGATCGAGAGTGTGGCGAGTATTGGATCGGAATCATCAATGGCGCATTGCAGGCAAATCTTTTGTAAGCTACCAATAACCGGTTGTGGGTCATTCGAGATCAAGACGAAACCATGACTTCGTTCTGTGTGCTTGGCGTGTAAGACAAATACTTAGCGTGAATTCGGTAGCTGACAGAAGACGGAAGACAGGGGTTCACAAATTTTTCAAGCTAAAGTGAAGCCATTCGGCATGTATCAGACTATTCCTGATATAATTTGTCCGAGGAACAGTGGAAAATTTTGTTGCATAAAATAAAGTTTTCAAAAAGATGAAGGGGGAATCCTAATTTTCAAGTTCACCTGATATATTGAGTAAATTTATAGCTAATTTATCGCCCGCACCAACTCGCTATGCTTGAAATATTGCGATCAATTGAGACTAATTTATTGTATCACTATGTATGAATTGTATGGATCGATTAATTATGTTTCATAATATTTATAACATTAAGTTCCCGCATTTATCTAAAGCCATGGTGACGTAGTCGACAGCGGTTTAGTCTAAAGCACAGCAAGCAGGTCGAGTACATTCTCACACGTTAATACCTATCACCTGTTGGGCTGTCGTTGACCTTCTTTCCTACTAATCTCAACCATGTCTTGCTAGAAATATGTGATTTCCGGGTAATTTTCATGTTAAAAAAAGTATCCTCTTTACGTAGAGGGATACGAGTAAAAATTCTGTTTTCTCTCGCTGACTTTGATAGTGAAATTTAATTAGGGTCCATTTTCTAGGGGACATTTTTCTAGGGGACATTTCGTACACAAAAGATCAAAATATTAGGATAGAGAAAAATATTGCCACGGACTGATGAATCTATTTCACGCCTAGCATTTCAAAATCATCGAGTGAAATCAATTTCTTATTTCACGCAAGAATATAATTGTTGGAAATATTTCGAAACGAAACTCTGTCAAAATTGCTGTAATGTTCACATCATAAAACTTCGGTACTTATTAAGCATTTTTCCGAAGCCTTTACTCTGAGCTGCACCGTATGGATAAACGCCGTTTCTTCAAGCGTCTGTTTACTCAAATATTGCAGCATGTTCGGATAAAATTGTTCATGCAACTATCCAATCATCACGGTGATAGCACTAACTTCTATCATTTGATGAAATAAATACTTGCAATACTTATATTAAATATTTTAAAATTACTCGAATGCCATGTTACTGCCATTACTTGCTGGGCTGCGCGGGAGGGAGATCGGAGTCCGAATTCTGCAGGCAGGAACTTTCATTCAAGTCGATTTCTTATGAACTCTGTGCATGATACTCTGATAATTTGTTCCTGCTACCTGTCTGACAATTTTACTTGTACTTTCATGGTGGATTTGTATACGTAGTACTCAGAATGTGGAATGCAAATGCATCGGATATGAAAACAAAGGAAATTTTTTTATCGACTTCATTTTGAAGGTGGCCATCGATGGCTCATCGATGCACCACCGGTGTCACTGGGATGTTTTTGTTGGAAGAATTTTTTAGGTAGGCCGGCCATCGGCAAGTTATAGGTAGAATATAAGCTGGACACGCCATTGATGCGCCATCGGTGCTCCACCTATAATTTCTACCAATAGCCACTAATAATCATCGATGCTCCACCAATAATTTTTATTTGGGCTCTCGTCTTCAATCAAACTTGTCTAAAAAAATTAGATGCGGATTTCTGTGTTTGTGAAAAGCTTCCACTTATGAAAAAACCTTGTCTGCGCATGAAATTATGCTATCTTGCTTATGCAGGGACTAATTAATTATTTGAAAATATATTGCTCATGAACTTCTCGAAAAGAAGTAAATTTTTCCTCATTCATTCCTAAACAATTATTCGATGTTTTCTGATTAATATGACCTCGAGACGATTCAGGAATATTAAATTGATGAGAATTTTTTAATATAAGACATTGAATAAAACTCATGCATAGACATGATCTGTACGCGAGTGTGCGAACCTGCTGGGAATGGCCTTTGTAAGACTGTAGAATTGAGGTAGTAGAGAATTAGTCGTAAGTAGTTCTATTGTTCACGGTACATTTGTTAAATAATATTACAGCACGCTTCTATTAAGTATTAAGTCCACTCAATATTGTAGTTACACTAGTTTTCTACTAGCGAACTTACGGAAAGATCTTAGAATGTAACATAAATGTAAGCAAATGTCGGTCATATTTTTACAAAAGTAATTGAACAAATGCTGCCTAATAATCAAATTTCCGTCATACATTTGAAAATATTGGGAATATTTTAATAGGAAACCCAGTCAATAAACAACTTCCACTGGAAATATTACGCATCTGGTCGCAAATTGTGTGCAGGAAACGTTAAAATAAACTGCAGGTCAGTTTAACAGTTCTGCGAAAGTGCCCCTTAAATGCAAAAGGAGATGAAAAACCATAGTTTATTTAATCTTTCTAAATACAATTTAGTTTTCAAAATCAATTATTGCTCATAAATGCTCCTGGTAATATATTTATAATATTTGAGCTTCATTCGTGAAAGCAGCTTGCAAGTCTTGAAAAAAAAACCTTGCCCAGGCAATTTTTCTTAAAAAAATCCAGTCAAAAGTATAAATATCAGGAATTTTTTTATCTCTCATATGATATTAGGGTATCTTGTTTAAGCTTGTATGATAGATGTTTATAAATGCCACCTGGTTTATTGCGCATGCAATACATAGCTCCGACTATAACCATGAAACTGCAATTGCAGATCTCACAGCGCTCGAGTCTTTGTCTCAATTAAACGAATGTCAGTAGCAAGCGCTTCAAACGTTGAAATGTGACAAACGTTTTAGCTGTTACGAACGTGACTGCGACGTGAGATACTTCTGAATATCATGTGTCTGCTACACAGAATACCAGAGTTAGATTGGTGTGACGGCGGGAAGTGATGTCATCACTTGCTGAAGTGAGGGATGCCGGGTAACATTAATGCTTACGGGGAAAAATATGAAAGCCAAAGCCTTTTAGTTTGATGGGAAAAGAAGAATGTTGCAAATGTTGTACTGAATTCTAAAAGCTGACATTTATGTGCAAATTCAGTACGAAAAGAAAAAAAACAAAGTCTCGTGCTACACCAGTTGTTTAAAATATGATAGTTATAATAAGAATTATGAATCAGACAGATTTGATAAAAGTTCCCGCTTACTTGCATTTAGATGTTTTTTATGGGCTCCAATTAACCGATGGTGTCATTCGGGTGCTGTTGTTTGTGTGAACGGTCAATAATGTTTTATATGTTAACTTATTCTGCAATAATGATCTTGACTCATAACTGCCATAGCAACTTTACAACAGCCATCGACGACAATAGCCTTCATGTAAACCATTTTATATGCCGAAGAACTCGTATATGCTATGTACTGAAAATGGATGATCTGTATACCTACCCATTGTCAGGTCTACGGTACTCTTGAGGAAAAATAAGCCATACGCAAACGTGATGTTACTTATATAGTAAGGAATACTCTGTCCAAGCTACAGGGATTTGAATCAATTACTTGAGAAAGTTTCTGTCGATATTACTCACCTCTCCTCTGCCACTAAGGAACAGTTGAATACGCCAATTTTCGCTGCATCACACTATACACTGTTAGAAAAAATGGTCCCACCGGCGTTCTAGTGGCCGGTCGCCCCGTGAAAATAAACTGTTTCGCCGTTATTATCAGATGTTTTACGGTTTTCTAGTATAAAATTAGAATAAAAACGGCGACGCGATGTTTCTTTTCACGTTCCGACCGGTCACTGAAACGTCGGTAATACCGTTAACGGTAATTTTTCTAACAGTGTCCCACTGTACACTGCATATCTCATGCAGTGTATATGCCCATACTATGCCCAGTGTGGGTATAGTATAGTACAGTACAGTACTAGTACGATTATAGCAAAGTATAGTATACTATACTATGCATGGTACCGAAGCGGCTTTGTTTTAAGCAACTGTGAGAGTACCGACAAAGGAAGCTTACTTATCGCGACAACACGCAATTATGTTTTGTGTGTTGCATTGTCTTGGTTTTACTCAGGGGTTGCTCATAATTCTTGCAAACGTGAATCAATTAACAATTCCCTGAGAACCAATTTGAAATTGTAAAGAAGTTCGAATGAATATTTCGTAAATTATTTTGAGTATTCTGAGCTAACAATGACAACTACACATATAAATTGTCATGAATATATCGTAAACAAATTTGTCAGAGTTGGTGTGTAGGTACCTGTGTTTTTACGTGTATGTTTGTAGCGTGGCACGACAAATATTTAAGTGATGTTGCGGCGCATATACACGAGAGGCTTTCCGTGTCGGGATATTATCTGGAAATTAAAATTTTTTATATTTGGGAATAGTAAATCATTGCAAAACTGTTGGACATAATTAGAGCAAAAATTGAATCGAAGCAGTTCAATTTTTCGAAGTCGCAAAAATTTGTTTACGGATTTCGACATTGTAGTTGAATAGTGATCCTATGTAAAATGTTGTTATGAAGGTGCAATTTTAAATTAGTATAATTAGTTTCATTTTTAATTATGGATTTAGGTAACCTGTGTAGTAATGAATAAATCCCATGGCTCATTACATTTGCCTGTGACATGGTAACAACG